AATAATTTTTTCATGTTACCACAGGCAACAGTTACTAAACTGTCTTCTACTATAACAAGGACCTCCTTTCCTCCAGCAGGAAGAGCATGCTCCTTAGGTTCCTATACATCCTCACTGACAGCCTCCTGGGGCCTATCAAGTTTCCTTAATAGTCTTGTGTAGCCACAGAGATGCACTGCTCAGACCTCTTCCAGACAGAACCTACCACAAGGAGTGCGAGGAGCCAACAACCTCAGTGCCAAGTGCCTCCCAGGTCCACTGCAGCATTCAGGCAGAGGCCCCCACACTCTTCAAGGAAGCTTCCAGTCAATAACTCAACATGGCAGGGGCATCCAGGCTTGGCCACTTCTGCCCAACATGCCATCTTCTACAACAATCCATGCTGGAGCTCCCCATTGGCTGAGATTTTCCCAGAGCTGCAGTTAGAGGGTCCCTCTAGCCAATCCTCCTTCCTCTTCCTTCTACCTCAATTGACAGGTGTCAAAGTCGCATCTGAGCTTGAAAGTCTTAAGACTTTCCATTTCTACTTCTGCTCCCCCCTTTATCCTTCTTCCCCAGGTATTAACCCCAATAAATCTCTTGCACTTCTAACTTCTTCTTGGTGCCTGTTTCCCGGAGCATCCAAACACATCAGCCTCCTCAGGGTCCTTCCAGCTTGATTGCTCCCTGGTCCCCAGCAATAACCATATGTCTTAGGTTTTTGTTATGGTAGAACCCCATCTCCAGGTACCAAATCTGTTCTGATTGCTATTGCTGCCAAAAGAAAAATTGCTTCCCTCCCTGTGTCCATGTGCCAGATATAGGTGATGGGGAGGAAGGCAGCAAATCACACTGTCATGTGTGTACCTACGCAACAATCTTTCATGTCCTTCACATGTACCCCAAAACCTAAAATTCAATAAAAAATATAAAAAATGAAAGAATATATGCTGAGAGAAAAAAAAAAGAAAGAAAAATTGCCCCCAAAATTTAGTAGATTAAAACCATCGTATTTTGCCTACAATTTTGTGGGTTCAATTTTGGGAAGGGTCAGCAGTACAGCTTTCATTTGGGGTCTCTCCTGCTGTTGCAGTCAGATGTTGACTAGAATTGCAGGAATCTAAAAGCTTGTCTGGACTGAGCATCAAATATGGCAGACTTGTCTGTCTGGAAGTTGATGCGGTAGCCAGGAACGTGGCTGAGGCTGTGATTGGAATGGCCATGTGTGACATTTCCAGCATGGCAGTCCCAGAGTGGTTGAACCTCTTACATGGCTGCTGGATTCGCCCAGAGCAAGTGTCCCAAGAGAACCAAGCAGAACTGGTATGGCCGTGACAGCCATATGACATCATTTCCATAGATAAGAACACGTTTAGCCCAGATTCAAAATAAGAGAGCGGAGACTCCACCTCTTGACGGAAGGAGTGTCCAATAATTTGCAGATGTTTTCAGACTTTTACAGTGACAAATAAGACAAGAGTAGCAGCCAACACTTAGTCCCATGTATGGCCACTTTAAAGCCCTATGGAACCAGCCAGCCACCTGGTGGCAAGTTGATTACACAAGAACAATTCTATGACAGAAGAGACAGACTCTTATTTTCACCGGAAAATGCACTTATTCTAAACATAAATCTGCCTTCCTTCCCTATAATGCTTCTGCCAAAACCACCATCTGTGGACTTACCTAATAAATGCCATATTCACTGTCATATATTCAGGCTTCAATTCTAACCAAGCAACGTGATTTCCAGCAAACGAAGCATGCCAATAGAATGATGCTATAGAATTCATGAACTTACCTGGAGCAGCTGGCCTGATAGAACAATGAAGTGGCCTTTTGAAGGTTTAATTAAAGTGTCATCAGGTGATATGATGCTTTTTGTGGATGAGGTAATGTTCTTTGGGATACCATGTATAATCTGGATCCCCATCCAATATACGGTACTGTTTCACCCACAGCCAGGATGCATAGATCTGGAATCAAGGTATGGGAATGAGGGTGGCCTGCTCACTACTGCCCCTACTCATTGATTTGACAACATGTTACTTCCTGCTTCTGGAACCTGGGGCTCTACTGGTTCAGTGGGATTGGTTCCAAAGGAAAGAGCACTTTCATCAGAAAACACAACAATGCTGCCTTCTAACTGCAAGTGCAGACCATTCTGGCCATGTTGGGGTCTTGGTGCCCGTGAATTAATAGGCAAAGAAGGACTGGCTGGGTGATTTCACCATCACAAGAAAATGAATAGCTACTGCTCACAGGGGAGCAGAAGACAAGAGAAGAGGGAGGAATTTAACTGAAATGCAGGTAGTTCTCAGGGCATCTTTTTAGGACCTCCAGTTTTGTGATAATAATAAATGGGAAACTAAACAACCCAATAAAGATAGGACTGCTAATGGCATAGAATGTGCAGGAATGAAGGTTGGGTTGCCCCATCAGGCCAGGAACTACCCTGTGGAGGTGCTTATTGAAGGAAAAATAACAAGAAATAGGCAGTGGAAGGATAAGGCTATAAATATCAGTTACCAGCTGCAGCCACATGATGAGCTTCAAAACCAAGATCTATAGTAGAGATGGTATTTCTTCCTTGCTTTGATATGAATATATATATATGGATATGATATAAGCACACATATCCATATATAAAAATCTGTCTAGTTTCTGGAACACTCTTCCCCCAGATATCCTCCTGGTTTACTACCTTACAGCTGGATCTCCCTGGGGAAGAACCCTGCTATACTGCCAAAATTTTATTCTATAAATCTTCCCTCTAGCTTTCTGCAAAAAGGCCCACATTTACCAGAGTGACTGTGCACTGAGAGGAAAGAAATACCCAGACATTTCAGGGATTACTGGACATTGGTTCTGAACCAATGGTAATTCCTGGAGACCCAAAACAACACCATGTTCCACAGTTTGAGTGGACCACATATTTACATCCACATATGAATTTGTCTGTATACCTAAATTCCCTTCACTTTGTTTTCTTTCCATTCTAAAGTAAGATGTGTTAATCCCTGTATATCTCAATATTTAATTCATAGGATATAAAAAAGAGAGCATGACTCCTCTAGAAAAGAAATAACCATCAGTCACGGATGAAAAAGGTCACATGGAGGACTCTGTGAATCTTTTTTGGGAGAGGGATAATGTCCTCATTTGCTTGGACTGCCACAAGAAAATACCATAGAATGGGTGCTTAAAACAACAGAAATTTAGTTCTTCCAGTTCTGAAAGCCAAGAATCCGAGACCAAGTTGTCTGCCGATTCTCCTCCTTTCTTAGTGCCATGTCCTCAGATGGCTGAGAGAGAGAGCTGTCTGGTGTCTCTTTCTCTTAAGAACACAAATCCCATCATGAGGAACCAACCCTCATGATATTATTTAATCTTAATTATCTCCCAAAGCCCACCTCCAAATACCATCACACTGGGGGCTAGGGCTTCCGCATATGGATTCTGTGAGTACACAATTATTCAGTCCATAACAGATAGCACAGTTTGGGTTGTTTAAGGAATAATTGTATTAATTAGGTCCAAAGGATAATTTTCCTGTCTCTTTATGTGGAAGATAAATATAGTCCTGACAAATGTATATGGTTTCCAAGTTGGTGGAGGTTCAGTTCTGTTGGATTATGTTATGTCAAGCTGGCTAAGGCTGGGAACTGTTTTCCGGAATTTCCTTCCCTATGTGGCTCCCAGGTAGAGTTGACCACATGAGGAACCTGCATGAGGTTTGGGAAGCAGAACTGAAGGAAGGTGTTATACTCAGTCATCATCATCAGTCATAGTGATGGACAGATGCAGAGGAACCCAGACTGCCTCAGTGGATCCTTGATCTCTACCACTCTGTGTCCATCCCATCTTTCTTACCATGGGCCTGTGGACAAAGGCTGGCTCCAAGTCCACCCACCAGGATCTTGGTCATGGACCAGAGGAGTAGTGGATAGAGACAACATTCTCAGCAGCATGGTAATTTCCATAGATCTCTCCACAAGCTCCCAGCCACAGTCCTACTTCAGCTTCTCAGACTGTGTGCAAGTTCTGAATTACCTACCTGCACCAATGCTTCTTCCAATTCTCCAAGTCTCCCTTCACCTCCCAGCTCTCCCCACATTTGTGTCCAATTGCATTCCCATAACCAATCCCTCGTTCTCATCGTATTTTTCTAACATGCATTTTGGTTATCTGCTAAACATTAAGAGAGTCTTCCGTTGGAAGCCTGGTTAATAGAGAAAGGCCCTGTCTGAAAAAGCACGCGTTACCCTTGATCCCCTCACTCTGATTCTCCTTCACAGCCCTGACCACCACCTGAAATAGTCTGTGTGTATGCACTTGTCTGCTTTGTTACTACTCAATCCCTGACGAACACAGAGGTTGCTAGCACTCAGTAGTTGCTCAATAAGGATTTGTTGAATGAATATTTGGGGAAACGGATTTAAATGCTACTATACCATGATCAGTGTAACAGTAATTTTTCCTACAGTATGTGAAATATTGAATTCATAATGTTCTAGATAATGAACAGGTAAGATATTTAAAAAGTAAAGAAGGAAGTAGAGGAGGTAGAGTAGAATGGGGAGAAAAAAAGGTAAAGAAAGAAAGAGGAAAAAAGTAACTGAGAAGGGAGAGGAAGAAGGAGCAGGGAAGAGGAGAGAGAGGAGAAGGGGAAGAAGGAGAGAGAGAAGGGGAAGAAGAAGAGAGAGAGAGTGAAGCTCTAGAAGGGAGACTTGGAGAATTGGAAGAAGCATTGGTGCAGGTAGGCTCTAAATGTAGGGCTGACATTGTACTAAGTGCTTTTCTGCAGTTTATCTTGAGACAAACCTGTAAGGCAAGTGTTATTATTCCCAGATTATACATGAAGCCACTAAGGCTTAGAGAATTAAAGGACTTGCTGAAGGTCTTTACAAAGTGATTGAGCTGGAATCCAAATATAGGGTGTCTGATTTCAAAACTCATATTCTTGCCATTATATCATGCCACCAGAGAAAGCAGACGCATCATGAGAAGAAAAATGGAAATGCTGTTGAAAATTGTATTAAAGTATTCCAATTGGATCTGAAATTACAGTTTTAGCTTCTAAGCTTGACCAAATTGCTGAAGTACTCAGTCCTTTTATCTATGACTTAATCTACAGTTCTGGGATTTATAATCAATGTTTTATGCAATAGTTCTATGATCTTACTAAACGTTTTCAATACCAACCCTTTCTTATAGGTAAATAATGAGTTATATCATTTAACCCATCATTATAAATGTAGAGCATACATTTTAATCTGAAGCTAGCTTAAGGATATTACTATGCAAAGTAAGAGTTAAAACACAGGAGTAGCGATATTGACAAATAACTGTTTACCCCAGGAATAATATGCATACAGTTTCTACACCAACCAAAGCTGGACCTGGTAAGTCTCAGCCAATGACAATGCAACCAGATGTTTCAAATCAGTGGAGGCACGTCAGGGTTGTCTTCAAAGGTTGGGTCTTCCTCACTTGGTATAACTTTGGGTTCAGATCGCCTTCTGGGTGTGTGTTTTTTCTCTTGAACGATGTTAGTCACATCAGGAAATGAGTGCTTGCTGGGGTCTACTTCTAGTTTCTCCATGTGCTTGCTTCTACAACAGCAAAAAAAGGCAAATAAAAACTGGTAATACATCATTTATAATTTCAAATAGATTCAACTTATCCATCCATTTATCCAGCAAACATGGGCAAGTAATATCCCTGGAGCATAAAAATTAAAAAAAAATAAAAGAGAGAATATCCCTAGGGTCAAGAAGCTTAGATTCTTGTAGAATCAAGATTCTGACCTGTCGAGCAGAGAAATGCTAGTAATAATAATAATAATTAGGCCACTGGGCTGTGCTAATGCACAAGCAATTGGAGGAGACGTCATCTGTGAAATTCTGCCTCCCTAAGAATTTATATTTGAGGACTAAAATGATACAGCAGGGAAAGCCCTAGAGCCAAGATCAATAACCGAATCCTTCCAGGCAGATCTTACTCCTGAATGCAGCTCATCAGGCTTCTGGATCCTCCTGCTTCAGACAATCTAACTTGTAGGGGCATCTACACGACAAGTTTAGGTGCATAGCAAAGTTCAGCCCCACCAACCTCTCCTCACACAAGAACCTGCACCTTCTGCACTCATTCAGTTCTCTCAGCAATAGCAAGAGTGAAACAGAACAAGGGAGCACCTCAGTTGGCCAATGTTCCCAATATCATGGTCAGATTTAAAAAAACTGTAGCTAATCAGGTCTCTGGGTTGCATTTCCCACAACTTTGATACAGTAAGTCTGGAGTTGGGCCCAGTAACCTGTATTTTTACAAAGTTCCCCCAAATGATTTTAATAATCAGTCAAATTGTTTTGGAACCACTGTACCATTGATTCAAATATTCATTAAACAGACATATGTTAAATATCTATGATATTCCAGGTGCTGTATAGGCACCAGGGAAGCCATGGTCTATGCAAATAGACAAGGTTCCTGGTAATATCTAATAGCACAGTACACTGCTCAAACATAGAAATTATGACTGCCATACGCTTGTTTCATTATTTGTCTGTTTTCATACAATACTGATACCTTTGAAGCAAAGATTTTCGTCTTTTTCATCTTTTATCCTAGGCATATGGCTGTATTGAATAAATATTGTTGAATAAGTGAAAAAAAATATTATTTTTCTATTGGGGGAAATAATGAAATTATATAAGAAACTATCTCTGACCTAAAGAAAATCACAGTCAGTCTAATCCAGGAGCTCTGAACTGATGTCCTCAGACTAAACTCATCCAGTGAACACCCTTTGTCATGGGAGAAAGGTTCTATTTTCTTTTGAAAGTGTCAACTCTCCATTGTCCTTGCAAGCGTTTCCCTTCATTTCTGTAATCTGCCTAGCCCTTGAATGCATTTGAGTGTTTGATCTCTCATACTATTTTGACTAATACACATGGACCTGCTGAAGAAAAAATACAACATATACAAAGAATACAAATTAGTATATTCAGGGCCGGGTGCGGTGGCTCATGCCTGTAATCCCAGCACTTTGGAAAGCTGAGGTGGACAGATCACCTGAAGACAGGAGTTCGAGACCAGCCTGACCAATATAGAGAAACCTTGTCTCTACTAAAAATACAAAATTAGCTGGGCGTGTTGGCACATGGCTGTAATCCCAGCTACTAGGGAGGCTGAGGCAGGAGAACTGCTTGAACCTAGGAGGTGGAGGTTGCAGTGAGCCAAGATTACACTATTGCACTCCAGCTTGGGCAACAAGAGTGAAACTCCATCTCAAAAAAATTAAAATAAATAAAATAAAGTAAAATAGTATATTCAGAAGCCCAACCACCATACTATTAACTCCATATGCCATGGGAAGAGGAAATGGAAAGGGGCCTGTACATCCTCCGAAGGGGTGAAAGGTGGGAATCCAAAGATGCCCTGAAAGATGCTAAGAAACATGGGTGAGCAGTAAAGGGGGAGTCAGTGCTCCAGATAAATAAATGGTGCCGTGGTCATGTCCTGAGCACACCTTCCTCTCAGATGCCGTGGTGCCACAGTATTCACTGAACCACCTGCCTTTAAAAGAACAGAGTTTTGTGGCTTCAGCTATGATGCTGCTTATTCTTTTCTGCATAGTCAGTCGCCATAAGGTTGGTGGCTGACTGTGCAGAAAACATTGAACATGGCAGGCTCGTGACAACTGTCTTTAAAAGGTAGGCCTGCACGGTTGGGCATTGGCTGGTAAACTGTTCCCTACAGCCACATGAAACTTTCCGTAAACAATAAGGGTAGCTCACTATGTCTAGTAATGTGTACAGTCAACTTGGTTTATGCTTTCCTTCTGGGACTGCATAATTTTGGCACCTTCTAGGGAGGAGGTGCCTACCAGCACCCAACAAAACCTTGAGCAGGTCCAGAGATTCAGTGAGCTTCCCTGATGGACAAGATTTCACATGTGTTGTTATGACTCATTACAGAAGGAATTAAGCATGTCTTGTGTGACTCCACAGGGAGAGGACTCTCAGAACCTTGCACCTGGCTTTCTCTGGACTTAGCCTTTTGCTGATTTTGCCTCCTGTTCTTTTGCTGCAATAAATCTTAGCCATGAGCGTGACTATATGCTGAGTCCTGTGAGTTATTCTAATTAAGCTCTGAAGCTGGGGTCATCCTGGGGACCGTTGACACACTGCGTTTCGTGGAGTCCCATGCTAAGGCTTTACTTATGTCATCAAATCCTCAGGCCCAGTGGGAAGACAAGAGGAAGTCAGCCAAGGTCCCATAAATAAACATAGGCAGAACCAGCTAGAAACTGAATCCAAATATCTGGTATTAACAACACCCATACTGTTCCTCATGGAAAATTAGGTACTATATACAGCATAAAGAGGGGTTTTCTATTCTTGACATCTGGGATGTAAGCTTACATCCCTCAAAACAAACAATTCTTCAGGTCAGCATGAATATTGAAACCAACTGTGCTATGACACAGTAAACCCACAACCTTCCAGGCCTTCTTTCACCTCATTTATTTCTTGTTAATCAAGAAACGAAGTTCGTTACCGAAAGTCAAAAGGCAGTAGAGCATTGGTAGCTTGCAAGATCTTGGCTCTTACCCAATAAGCTGTGTGCTCCTACCCCTGTGACTTACTCAGCCACTTTATGCCTCAAAGACCTCATCTTTAAAATAGGGATGATGACATTGAACACAGGGCCGTTGTCAAAATCAAACGAGTTCATCCACGTAAAGGACATAGAAAAGTTGTAGAAACAGAGCAGGCATTCTGAAGGGGCCAGTGCTATGCAGGAAAAGAGTGGCATCAGTCAGTATGTACTAGGATCTGGGTATGGTTATGCAAGTCAGTATGCTTTTAAGCACACATCTTTTAGGTGCCCAGTGCTATAATCAGTGCTAGGAATTTAAAGAGGGGTAAGACATGGCATGTGCCCATAATCAAATGAGAAGCACACACACATACTTGGCTATTTTGCACCAGTGTGGCAAGGGCTCTGCACATAGAATAGACAAGCTGGGTTGAAGCACACGGAGACAACCATCACCAAGGCCTGGAAGGAATTACAAATAGGATTCATAGAGTAAGGGAACTTGGCACTTGGCACCTGGCACTGGGGGCAGGGTGGGGTGATATTTTCCAAGATTTTGAGGAGGAAGAACATTCCAGAGAGATAACACTGACAAAAGGTAAGAAAACATTTGTTGTGCTTATTCTTGGCCTAATTCTCATCAGAGAGTGAGGTACGCAAGGTGTGGAATGGGGGAGAAGTGGGAGTGTCTGGCCTGGTCCAGTTAGGGTAGGGCCTGAGTAAGCAAGGGAAGCCTGGATGGATGGGTAAGGTATTCTGTTGAGGAGGCTGCCTGGAAGTGTTTAAAATAAGACGCTAGAAGTCTGGCTCTGTGGCAAGTGCCATGACTCTTGGGAACTGAGGCACCTCATTCCATCACATTTTTCTTTTCACTTTTAGATACTCATGCAGTGGGGAGTGTGTTCACTTTTAGAAAAGTTAGAGTCTGATTTTTTTTTTTTCAAGTAAGGGAATGATGCTTAACAACCTATTAATTATATTCAGTGTCATGTAAATGTAGTTAGGAAACAGAACACCGACACTACTCCTTGGTACTTCCCTGCTAAGTTTCCAGTTTTTCTTTAATTGCTATTTGTCACAAATAAGAAAATTTACATTTTTCTCATTGGTTGCTCACAATTCACGTACTTATTCATTCCACAATTTACTTACTGAGTACCTACTATGCACTCAGGTTTGTGCATGTCCTAGAGACTGAAAATGAAAAGCCATCTTCCCATCCTCAACCTCACTCTAAGTAGATAAACAGCATTATTTTTATTAGCAAAAAGAGATGTTATATAATCATTATTATACTTAAAGAAGCTATAAGATGTGTGCCTAAGTGAGACAATTTGACTGACCAAATCGCCCCTGTTGTGCTGGTGAACTGAAAGGGACATGTTGCTGTTTTCAAAAGTCTCTCAATATAAGTTGAGCATTACTAATCTGAAATTTCAAAATCCAAAATGCCTCAAAAATCTAAACCTTTTTGAGCACTGACATAATGCTCAAAAAAAAAAAATGCTCACTGGAGCATTTCAGATTATCCAGTCAGGAATGTTCAACTGGTATCATGCGAATATTCCACAATCCGAAAAATTCCAAAATCAAAAACAATTCTGGTTTCAAGCATTTTGGATAAGGGATACTCAACCTGTATGTTTACAGTCTTATCTGATGTTCACACCATTAATGAGCCTCCCCATTCCTTCCCCACCTCACTGATGCAAATGTGGCAGAAGAGAGAGGGGCAGGGGTCCCTTAGAGGCTGAAGCTGAGGGTCAGGCTCAGGATTGGGGCAGGCACAGATATTTCATGTATTATGTGGTGATTTTCATAACTTTTTAAGCCTTTTTATTGAGTGAAATACTTGTATAGAAAAGTACCCAAATCATAAAACTTTCATTAATTGAAGGCACCATGGATTAAGAAGCAGAAAATTATCAGCACTCTAGGAGCTCCTACTGTGTCCTTTCAGCCATGATATCTACACTGAAACCACCATCCTCACTACTAACAGCTTAGAATT